CCGGACCCATCACCGAAGCCGACGCCGACGTCAGCTCCGACACCCGATCCAACACCGGGACCGACACCAACGCCAGCTCCCACGCCGGACCCGTCACCAAAGCCGACGCCGACACCAGGGCCTACGCCGGCACCAACATCTGTCCCAACAGGCAGCCCTGACAAGACGACACCAACGCCAACGATGATTCCCATCGACGTTACAACGCAACCACCTGCAACAGTCGATCAAAGCCTCCAGAACCTCCTCAAGAACCCCGAGACGCAGACGCCGGCGCCTACGAACCTCGACAACCAGTTCTTTGGCCGAACGACAGCGCCGCCGAGCAACGCGACGACGGCACCGGTACTCGACGACCAACAAACCGTGCCGCCCAACGACCACAGCAACATCATTTCGTACTCCCCAAAGTGTCTTTTATCAGTATGCTAAGTATGGACAATTTCATTTTCAAATGTGGTTTGGCCGATGTCTCGAGGTTGCACATGGCGATGTGAGTTAAATGTGGCTTTTATGGCGAACGCCAAAAATAATAGTCCGCAACGCCACTGACGTATGTAATACAATAAGGTTAGGAGAAGCGCACCACCAAAGAGCTCCACTACAATGCACAACTTGACGACTTGGTAGACGTCCGGTCCGAGGCATCGCGTTCGTAGGTGCGTCGCAAACGATGCCAGTCGCGCCAGCGCACATCGGCAAGACATTCCAACCAATGGCATCGCACATGCTCTTGTGTTTTAGCCAATCGTAACGCAGGAATTAGCAACAGAAAATCAGCTGAGAATCATGGCGCGATGGCCAGAAAGCTCCTGCGTCTGCTTTGCTCCAGTCGCGCCTGCATCATCGCCGAGGCCATTGGCGGTGGCGACACCCGCAAGGAGTACTCAACGACGCGCGACTCCTGCTATCGTGAGCGCCAATATGGTTTGGCCCAATGTGGCTTGGAGCTGCCATACACGCCACTGCAAACCCATTGCTTTGAGAAGAAAGGCCGTCTTTACACCGTTAGCTGCGTGTCGCCAAGTACGAGTCGATACCCTCCTAAAGTTAGTCGATCGGCGCCGCGCTGCCTCGCTTGATCAAAC